TAATTAACTAAATCATTATTATTTCTTCGTAGATACAAATGTGTTAATTTCATCTATTCTTATTCGTTCATTTTCATATAATCAATTATTGTATTGTTTATTTCTATTCATTATTCAATTATATTGAAGTATAAATGCGAATGATTAATTTATATACAAATGAAATTGAGTAGTTGAAATATATTATGTTAATTATCAACTTCTTCACTTCATTCATTTCAATTTTACAATTAATAAATAGTTAATTGAGAATATTATGAAATTAAAAGATACACAAGTACAAGATTAAGAAGTTCATGAATGAATATTCAAATATAAAATACAAACAAATGTTGTGATTCATTAAAAAGTATTTTAATTGGAATACACAATCAAAATGATATTATCATAATAAAAATACATAAAATGATATATTATGAATGATATTTGAATTAATATCATCACTCAAATTATTTGTGTCATCTAAATTATCATTTTGAATTAGTATAATAATTATTATACAATAATGATGAATTAATATTTATTACTTATTCATAATATGAAATGATTAATTGATTGTATAATTATCAATTACTTATCATTAATATTTATCATCAAATATGATTGATATAAATTAATTATATTCAAACAAATTATTGAAAAAACCAAATAATAATAAATAAAAGAAATAGAAATAAATCAACATAAAATAATAATAAATAAATGATGAAATTATTACATTTCATTCAATTGATTATTTCATTGAATATTTTATTATTAAATGAATTGTTTATTATGTATTTAATATCACTTAAAATAATAATTAAATTACTTTTTATTCTTTATCAATTCAATTATCTTGTTTTTTTATTTCTTCTAAAAAACCGTTTATCAAAGCAACATTCTGGTATTGCATCATTCATCTTTAGTTCTTCTTCACATCCACATTCATAAAAACATCCATACCCGAATGATGTAATTGATGTTAGTATAATAATTGATTTTAATGATGAACATCCTTTAAAACATCTATTTGGTATTTCATTAATTGATGATGGTATAGTAATAGATTTTAATGATGTACATTCAGAAAAACAATCATCTCCTAATTTAGTAATTGAAGATGGAATAATAAATTCATTAATGTCTTTCTTTTCAATATTCTTTCCATTGATTATTTGTAGAGTTTTTGGTATTTTAATACTAAATAACAGTGGTTCATTTATAAATATTCTTTCTTTACTAATAAATTGTAGATTTTCTATATTAATTGATGTTAATGACCAATGTCTATCAAAACACTCATATCCTAATTCATTAATTGATGATGGTATATTAATTGATTTTAATGATGTACAATAATAAAAACATTTATTTCCTATTTTACTAACAGATGCTGGTATAGTAATTGATGTTAATTCTTTACAATATTTAAAACATTCCTTTCCAAGTGATTTAACTTCTGATGGTATTGTATTTCCATATTTCTTTCTATCTTCTTCTGTATATTCTATATTTTTATAGATATTTCCTTGTTCTTTCTCTTGTAAATATGTTGAATAATATACTTGATACCATATTACTTTTTTAAATATTTTTCCATCTTTAAATATTTCATCACCTCTATTATAAATATGAAATGTTTCAATATTAGTAAAGAACTTTCTTGAATAATGATTTAAAGGAATTGGATTAAAATGAAATCGTTCCATATTTCCTCTAAATCTTTTAACACCCATTTCTAAATTAATAAAATCTTTAATTTCATTAAAATACATTGATACTATCATTATTTCATTATATCCTAATTTCATTCTTGATTTATTATTTATTAGTTTATTAGTTCTTCTTTTTATTTTATTTTGAACTTAAAATATTTTTAAGATTATCATCATTTAATTTTTTATTTTTTTATTATTTTTATTTTTTTATTTTTTATCAAGAAATAACATTCAAACAAATGATATTATAACATTTATTATTATTGTATGATTTGATTGTTGTTTTCATTTTTTTTATTTTATTGTGTTGTTAATTTATTGATTTTATTTATATTTATTATCATTTTATGTATTCTTAACTTGATTTATTCTTTTTAAAATTGTATTGGAAATAATAGATAAGATAATGTAATATCAAATATGAAAGATCATATGAAATACTGAAGTGACTATTCTAGAGAATACAGAGATGAATAATGACCAGAAGAAGTAGACTCTTTGGAGATGAATGATGGGAAATTTTCACCTGAATAACAGATTAAAGTTATTAATCCTTAATTTATTTTTTTATTTCTATAAAATAATAATTTTATTATATTTTATAAAACAGTTAAAAGTAATTAATTAAGTATTAATAGAGTTGGTATCTATGACTCATGGCTCAGGTGGGACTAATCTCATCAAAGAGTCTTGGTCATGTAATTTAACAATATATCTTTGGTTGTGGTAGAGTCAATGTTCAATGATATTTATCATGTTTTTAATTACATGGTTTTTAATTTCTTTTATGTTTTCAATTTAGATTTTTAATTCTTTAATTATTTTAATACTTTCTACATTTAGTAATTAATTTATTGAAATTATTACTGCAATTATTTTGACATCTTTTATTTTCTATATTTTAATTAGCATATTCTTCATTTATTTATACATATTTCTTTTATTCAAATATACTCCATTAATATTGTGATCTGCAACAATAGTCATATCAAATATTAGACCAGTTATATTCTTTTTATCTATTACATATATAATTGGTATTTTGTGATATAGTCCATCACTTTTTGATATCATTTATTGTTTGTTCAATATCATAATGATGTATTTATATTAGAACATTGTTTCATATGTTGATTTTTAATATTGATTATTTCATGTGTATTTTCTTATTAATTAATATGATAATAATAATATTATTATTATCATGTTTTTCCATTTGTGATTTCTTATGACCAATACAAGATAGTAGAATATGTTCTATTGTTGATATCTTGTGTTTACAAAGTGGATAGTATTTTAATCATTTTTAATATTTTATCTTTTCTGTACATATTGAATATTACTCAATCTTGTATTTTAGTTAATTGAAGAAATACATTCTTTTTAATATTAATTGAATTCAATGAATTGATTGTAGTAGTTTTATCTACAAATTTTGATTCAATCCATCTTCTAAAATATCAATTTATTTGATTTTAATTTATTGATGTATTTGTTTATCATTATTTTATTTATTTATTTATTATTATTATTATTTATTTTTATTTTCATTCATTTCTTTATTATTTATTTTATTTCTTTGATTTTATGTTTTATTATTATTTATATTCATTATTCATTTATTTGAATATCATCTATCTAATATATTATTTATTATTTCATTATTGTACAATATTTTATCATTCTTCTAATTATTTCACTATCATATTCATCATTCATGTTTATTATTCATTATTTTATTTATATTGACATATAGATTATCTTTAGAGTTACCAAACACTAATATATTTTATATTTATTATTTATTTTATTATCTCAATTTCCCATTTTATCTATGTTACATTCCAATTTACTACTGATGCTAAATATCTGAAGATTGGTATTACTTCAATAATAATTCTTGTAATATAACTTCTATTACTACTTTCATCACATTTTATTTCATCTATTTTCTTCATCATCTTTTATTTGATGATTTTACAATTGAAGGTATCATTAATTTCATCTAAATATCATATATTTAAATATTTATACATTTCATCTATTTCAATTAATGTGATGTTTTGCATTCAATCTGGTATTTTATTAATATTCTTTATCTCTTGGTTTATTTTCATTCATTTCCATCCCTATTCCACTTATTATTTCTTTAATTTATTTGTTGATTATTCTCATCTCTTTACTATTTTATGTCATTATTCTCAATTCATCCATATATAATGTATGGTTTGATTTTGGGAACTTCTCTTCTATGATTTGAGAAATTATATTCATTTTGATGATGAAGAGTAGAAATGATAATGAATCACATTGTAAAATTCATCAATTTAATACATCCTAGATATTCATTGTATTTATATCATATGAATATCTTCATTCTGTTCATCATACTTTCTACAATGTCTATGATGACACCCTCTACATTAAAATATTTTAGTGATTCTATTACCCATTCATGATTTACTGAGTCATATGTTTTCTTAATATCATAATATGACTCTACATATTTTGGGTATTTCTCTTCTTTTTGCTGATTTAACATATAACTGTTAATTAATCCTTCTTTAGCAGCAAGAGATTACAGTTTACATCCCAACTGATTTTTACTAATTTTTAATGATTCACTATTCATGTTAATTCTATTATGAATCTTCTCTTTCAATATTGAGGTAAATACTTTCATTATTACATTTATACAACTGATAGGACGATAATTAGTGACATCGTTCCTATCACCTCCTTTGTGGATTAATATAGTTCTTCCACTTACCATGTCTAGAGGGATGTTTTCATTGAAGTTTAACCAATCATTGAAGATATTAAGAATGGAATCTCTTGATGATGACATTCTCTTCCAATAATACCCATATATAATGTCAATGCCTGGTGCTTTCCAATTACTTATTTTCATCATTCTTAGATTTAAATCATCCAATGTGATGATGACACTATCATAATTCCTGTATCTTTCATTCCACGAGGTGATTTGTTTTATTTTCAAATGTTATTTATTTAATATTACCTGTGTTTCATATAACGATTTCAAATATTCTAAAGTAATATCGTTATTTGGGTATATTTCATTTTGTGGGTCTTTCTTCTTTATTTTCATTTTGTTATTAGAATCAAACATGATTTTATTTGTATTGATTCTGACATTTTCATTCTTATTAAATTTAATTCTTTCTTTAATCATCGTCATCATATATTTTAGGTACTTTATTATTTCTTGTGCTTTCATTTTAATTTCATCTGCATCTTGTTCATTTAATCTCATGATGCATTTTATTCTGTACCATTTCCTTCCCTTGACTAGATCTTCTAATCTATTTATTTTCTATCTCATTTAAATTTATTTTGGAGATAATAGTACATACACATTGAAATCCTTTTCATATCTTCTTGTAGATTTTCTATTCTCCTGATCATACCCATTTATTATTTATTTCTCTTATTAATTTATCTGCTTCTTTCATTTTCCAGTAGTAATTAATATCTACACATATCTAGTTATATTATTAAGAAGGATAATCCATTTGGATAAGACTCTGATTATTCATTACCACCTTTAGTACAAGAGATACAAGCTTTCATGTTATTATATTCAAGCAAACAAAGTAACATGGAATAAATAACAAAGTAAAAATGAAGAAATCTGAGGAATGATAAGATTCAATAGAAAATTGAATATATTTTCAACAATAAAAAAATAAGATAAAATTAAAAAAGAAATAAAATGTTTTAGAAATTAATTAGAAAGCAAAATCAGCTCCCATTTCACGTTTCCATTCCTTTTGGAAAGTATTAGCATATTCAGAAATAGTGGTTGCAGCAAGAAGAATACCAGTTCCTGAACCAACAGCTCCAAGTAAATCAGCTCCAACAGAAAGAAGAGAAATGCACATACCACCAAATGAAGCAGCAATTGGGATATATTTGTCAAGAAGATAAACAGAACTTTCACCATCACGGAATCCTCTAATAGAAACACGTTGATCAGCAAGTTGTTTCTTAACATCAGCAGAAGAACTTCCAGAGACTTTAATCCATTCACGTGAGAAGATGGTACACATGAATACAGTCAATCCAATACTAATAACTCCATGAATTGGGTTTTGAACTAATTCAAAAATACTATTTGGAGCAGTAAGATAATAACAAAGTCCACCAACTGGATACATTTGTCCTCTTGATGAAACAACAGACCATGATCCAAATAAGTTAATTAAGAAATTAGTTGGGAATCTCTTAAATAAGAGTTGTGAAATAATGAAAATATTAGAAGTAAGTGCTGAATGTAAAATAATTGGCATATTAGAAGTATAGAATAATCTAATTGAATAATTTTGAGACTCAACACGTCCTTGTTTGCTTGATAATGGAATATCTACTTTAAATCCTTGGAAATACATAACAGTTAAGAAAACTACTATTGTAGCAATTAAATTGCTTAAATTTCCTGCTTCAGTTCTAAAGAATGCGTCATAAAGTGCTCCTAATTTATCTGGTCTAGTGATTAATAAATGGAAGAAATTAATAATTGATCCTTCAAATTGTGATCCTGTTCCTGCATTAGTAGTAAGTGGTGAGAATGCAGACCATACAATTGATTCACAAATATTAGTAGCAATGAATAATGAAATAGCTGATCCAAATCCATATCCGTTTGAAAGTAATTCATCAAGAAGAAGAACTATTAATCCTGCAACAAATAATTGAAGAAGAATTAAACAACAATTGAAAAATCCAAGTTCTGATGGATCTCCATACATTCCTGACATAATATAAGCAATTCCTTGTCCAAGAGTCATAAGAAGTCCAAATAATTTTTGTGATGCTTCAAACAATTCACTTTCTTCTTGATTATCCATATCAACTGAAATAATTTTAGCTCCTTGAAGAAGTTGCATTACCATTGATGCTGTAACAATTGGTGAAATTCCAAGCTCCATTAGTGTTCCTCTATTTGATGCCATAACTAAACGCATCCAATAAAATGGATCATTACCAACAATATCTGTTCCAATTAATGGAATTTGACTGCAAACAAGGAATACCAATAATGTAATTCCTGTCCACATCATTTTTTCTTTAAATCCAATCTTTTTAGTTGGTTCATTAATTGTTGGAATAAGACTAACAATTGGTCTAATGACATTGAAGAACACTCCCATGACTGTTCTAGTAATATGAAATTTACAGTTCTACACCCTTTTTCCTTTCAATTTATTTATTTATTTTCTTTCTTAACTCAAAAACTATTCTATTTTTTAGATTTCGTTTTAATAACAAATTTTATTATTTTCTTTATTATTCTATTTTCTCTTTTCTTTTCGATTAAAAATAAAATTCATCATTCATTAAATTACATTTATTTTTCTTTTTTCTGTTTTTCTTTTTGTTTTATTTGAATTCTTCTTATAACAAAATAATTACTTAAAATGACAAAACTTATTCTTTTGATGCATTTGTATTAAATCATCAACTCACAAACTCATTCAATGAAAACCACTAATAAAATCATCCTTGGCATTACTGCAAGTATTGCTGCTTATAAAGGAATTGAAATCGCAAATCAACTTACAAAAAGAGGATATGATGTTCATGTAACATTAACTCAAAATTCACTTCATTTGATTCAACCTTCAACCATTGAAGTATTAACTCACAATAAATGTATTATTGATAGTTTTGATCGTCCAAATGAATATGATGTTCACCATATTTCATTAGCACATTCAGCTTCTTTATTTCTCATTGCACCAGCAACAGCAGATATTATTGCAAAACTTGCTGCAGGAATAGCAGATGACTTTTTAACAACAACATTCCTTGCTGCATCATGTCCTAAACTAATTGCACCAGCAATGAACACTACAATGCTTCACAATCCAATCACTCAAAGAAATATACAAATTCTTAAATCATTTGGTGTTAAATTCATTAATAGTTCATACGGTAAATTAGCTTGTGGGGATGTTGGAGATGGTAAACTAGCTCCTGTTGACACAATCTTAACATCTGTTGATCAACAGCTCCATCCAATCCAACCACTTCTCAATAAGAAAATAGTTATTACTGCTGGACCAACAATTGAACCAATAGATCCTGTTCGATTCATTACAAATCACTCAACAGGAAAAATGGGATATTCAATTGCTCATGTAGCACAACAACTTGGTGCAACAGTTACATTAATTACTGGACCAACAACAATACAAAAACCAAGTGGAGTTAATATTGTCAATGTACAAACAGCAATTGAAATGTATGATGCAGTTATGAAAGAGAAAGAAGTTGACATTTACATTATGTCAGCAGCAGTTGCAGATTATCGTCCAATGAAAATTGCTAATCAAAAAATTAAGAAGGATGAGAATGAATTAACAATGACATTTGTTAAAAATCCAGACATTTTAAAGGAAATTGGAGATAAAAGAAATGATCACCAAATCATTGTTGGATTTGCTATGGAAACTCAAGACTTAATTCAAAATGCACAAGAAAAGCTTAAAAGAAACATTGTGATATG